ATGGCCAGGCCGATAAGTGAGCATTTGGGTGATGGCTCTCCAAAAAAGTGCACTAAGGATCTCCTTCATTTGGGTCTTTGGGGTATTGACTGAATCCACTGTCCACATTGCCCCCAGAGAAATCAGAAGGCCCTGTGTATACAGAGAGGCTGCCTAGGCAGCCCAGGGTCAAGTGTACAGCCAGCTCCAGGAAGAACTAGTCATGGGAGGACAGAACAAAAAGAAATCCATGGAAGTATGAGGCAGCAGGTTGGAGACGGGTTAGGACTTCTAGTTCCTGTTATTAGGAAAAGCTACTGCTCCTTCCCTTTCCCTCCTGGGACGGGAGGATTCTGTCTGCCCTCTTCTACGACTAGTGGTGTAGAATCACTAAGCTGCCTTCTAGCTAAAATCTGAGTTCCAGCCAACGCTGCAACAGATGGCTCTTTATTTAGGGAGAATGAATTTTTATAGCTTCTCACCCTCACAATGACTTTTAGGGAAAGTCTCAGCATTGAGATTTGAAAATCTCAGCACCACTTTTTTTTTTCATGAGTTAGAAAAGTAGGAAATAGAACTGTGCCCTACTGATGTAAACAACTTTATAAAAAAGAGCCACTTTAAACTGTCAACAATGGAAATGGGGGGAGCAGGTGGTAAGGCAAGGAGTGTAAATATTCCTAGCTGTGCAGAAATTAACACAATAGTTTAGAAAGCAGCAATTGCCAATGCTTTGCCCCTCTTTCCTACACTGGGAGACTCACATTTCTGCTCCTGACTTTCTTGCTTTCCCTGACAGTGTGCGGAAAGCCCAAGAACCCGGTGGATCAGGTGCAGCGGATCATGGGTGGATCAGTGGATGCCAAAGGCAGCTTTCCCTGGCAGGCTAAGATGGTCTCCCACCATAATCTCACCTCAGGGGCCACATTGATCAGTGAACAGTGGCTGTTGACCACGGCTAAAAATCTCTTCCTGGGCCATAAAGATGATGCAAAAGCAAAAGACATTGCCCCAACTTTGAAACTCTATGTGGGGAAAAATCAGCCTGTGGAGATTGAGAAGGTGGTTCTCCACCCTAACTACTCCAACGTAGACATCGGGCTCATCAAACTCAAACAGAAGGTGCCCATTGATGAGAGAGTAATGCCCATCTGTCTACCTTCAAAAGATTATGCAGAAGTGGGGCGTGTGGGCTATGTGTCTGGATGGGGGCGAAATACCAACTTTAATTTCACTGAGCTACTGAAGTACGTCATGCTGCCTGTGGCTGATCAAGAGAATTGTGTGAAGCACTACGAAGGCAGCACAGTGCCCGAGAAGAAGTCATCGAAGAGTCCTGTAGGGGTGCAGCCCATACTGAATGAGCACACCTTCTGTGCTGGCTTGTCTGAGTTTCAGGAAGATACTTGCTACGGTGACGCTGGCAGTGCGTTTGCCGTTCACGATGAGGATGACAACACCTGGTATGCAGCTGGAATCCTGAGCTTTGATAAGAGCTGTAGGGTTGCTGAGTATGGCGTGTACGTGAAAGTGCCCTCCATCCTGGCCTGGATTCAGGAAACCACAGCTGGCAACTAATGCTGTCTGGCTGGGAGCCCTAGCCTGACAGCAAGACTTTACTCTGGAAGAGAGGAAACTAGATGGGAGGAGAGGGGATAAAATGGAGTATGAAGCAGTGCTGAGTCAATCAATAAAGGGATTTCTTTTGAGTCATTTCTGTGCTGTTTTTAGCCTCAGGCCTTTTTTATTCTCTCATTTATGGTACAGCAGCAGCTAAGTGGTATAGAGTCTACTAGGAGTGTGGCAGAAAACACCCCAAGCCAACTCAAAATCCATAAGACGAAACAAACTTTCCCACCCTGGGGATCATACTCATTGACTGAGTGCCTACCAAACAGCAGGCCTCAGAAAGGTCACTGTTACCCTGGTTTCATAGACAAGAAAACAGACTTGGAGAAGTTAAGTGATTTGTTTAAGGCCATACAGCTATTAGATAGTGAGGCTGAATTCACTTTGAACCCAGGTCTGTCTGGATATGAACTTCAGCTCTCTACACGGTATCCTCTTCTTTGAAGTGTATTAGGGGAAAGAGTGTGGGCTGACGAGGAAGAGGCTAGCTCAACGTGGGATGAAAACAAGGGTTTTGGCACAGGCAGTATTTTATTATTTGTGTTCCAACACACCAGCACTTCAGAAAACAAAGTAAGATGGGATAAAGGCAGGCAGGACTTCTGGACTTGCTGAGTCCAGATCATAGTGTGGCCACATGTTTGCCAAGTGCCTTCAGTTCCCTGCCATCGGTCCCTGGTTTCCTTCCAGAGGGGCTTAAAACAGCTGATCCCTAACATCCCTATGAACATTCTGGAACTTGGTAAAAGAGTTACAAGTCTCTTCCTCAATAGGGTATGCTTTTCCCAGTTGGAAGAAACCTATCCTTTACTGGGAGCCAAATGCAAGCCACCTGAGTCTTCCCTTTCACAAAGACAGGCTCTTGCTATTAAGGGTCTCCCAGAAGAAAGGTTTCAGAACCCCTGTAAACAGAAGGCTCTTCTTCTAACTTCTTCTATTCCTTCCTGCTGTTTAAGCCTTCAGTACACTGACCTTTCATTAATGTACCTTTGTGTCCTATGAAAATATGGCCTCTCCTTCTCATGGTATAAAATGCTGATGTCAGTATTCTCGCACCAGGATCTGCCCTTCACTGTGAAGTTGTCCTCAGGTGTACTCTCTAGGTCCATCCACACTTTTCAACAGGTTAGAGCTAGTAGAGACCAATGACGATCTTACATCTATATTCTAAAAGCTGTGAAAGAATAGCCAGAAACTGAAGAATTATACACACACATAAACAAAATATCTCTCAATACAGTTCTTTTTTGGTTGGTATAGCTTTAGCACTAAATTTTCTTGAAGAAAAAACACTCCACTTGTCTTGAAGAACTATCTGATTGCACTAAGTGGCTTCTGGCCACTGTCCCGAAGGAAAACAGTAAGAAAAAACTTTCAGCATTTTCTCAATTCACTTATCATTTCCAGCTTCCTCCCCAGCAGCACTTCCTGCCCTCCTGGTCTACCCCTTGGATTTTAGTGACACTGAACTCTGCGTGGCTCTCTGAACATGTTCTGCTGTCTCCAGCATCTGGGCTTCTTCCTCCTGGTACCCTCTCCTGAATGCCTCTCCCTTTCCACACAAGTACGTCCTACCCTCCTTTGAGGTTTGGGCATTGTCTCCACTACAAAGCCTTCTCCCATTCAGGAGTCACTTGTATTTCTGTAGCATGGAGCACAGAGAAGGGCATTTGGTATGAACTCAATCAATACTTGTGGAATGGAAAGTAACTAAGATAGGAACAAAAACAATAAAAAAAAAAAGGGGTGCCTGGGTGGCTTAGTCGGTTAAGCGTCCGACTTGAGCTCAGGTCACAATCTCACAGTCTGTGACTTCAAGCCCCGTGTCGGGCTCTGTGCTGACAGCTCAGAGCCTGGAGCCTGCTTCCGATTCTGTGTCTCCCTCTCTCTCTGACCCTCCCCCGTTCATGCTCTGTCTCAAAAATAAATAAAAACATTAAAAAAAAATTAAAAAAAATCAGGACTTCAGAGAAACATTCCCTAAAGACCTCAGGAAGAAAGAAGATATGAGAATTTTATGCATGCAAGTTCTAAGTTTTTGTTGGTATCTGAGCACCTACCACATGTCAAACACTGTGTGACTGAAGTTGTGACAGAAAATCCAACTAACAGTGACAGGCAATGAAGACATTTTATTCTTTCTGGAGGGAGGCAGGTTTAGAGTTCACTAAGCAGCTCAATAGCATCATCAAGGACCCAGGTTTTTATTGTCCTTCTCCACACGTTCACATTTCATCCCGGGGCTGGTCCTAATGGTCCTGGGATGGTTGCTACGGTTCCACGTCTTATCCCTGGAGCGGCTCTCTCTTGTCATCAGCAAAGGATGCAAAAACCCACAGTGGCCTTCCTTCTATGCCACGTCAATGAGAACCAGGACGGGTGGTCATCTCTTCTTGCAGAAAAGGCTTGTAAAGGAAGCGCCCAGTAAGGGGAGAATGAACTTGCAGAGACAGTGTTGGTCTGCACAGAGCTGGGACATCAGCGTCTGGCGAGCAAATCCATGTCTGGCCCACTGCCCTCTGGGTCTGCATCTATTCTTTTGTTCTACAAAGTCAGTATCCAGAGGCCCAGGGAGGTTTTGAGAGAAGCAGGGACTTGTCAAGTGGTGGCAGGTTATGCCAGGGCTGCTGGCAGAGCAAGAATTCTTCATAAAGTTATTAAAATGGGCAAATACCACAAAGATGTTATTTCTAACGATTCTGACATCTCTTTCCAGTCTTGAGTCCTTGAAGTAAAATCCTCTGCTTCAGAAAGCGGCAGAACTTGGACTTCTGGGAGAAATCTGCTGCTACTTACTAATTTGTTTAGCTCAAATTGGGTGCTGGATGGTAAAGGTTCAACGTCCCATTTCTTGGGCAATTTAATAAAAGCTAGTCAAATGAGCAAACTGGGATACTGTTTTAAAAGTTCAAGCCAGATGGGGCACCTGGGTGGCTAAGTCAGTTAAGCGTCCGACTTTGGCTCAGGTCATGATCTCACAGTTTGTGAGTTTGAGCCCTGCGTTGGGCTCTGTGCTGACAGCTCAGAGCGGGGAGCCTGCTTCAGATTGTGTCTCCCTCTGTCTCTGCCACTCCCCAGCTTGCAATCTCTCTCTCAAAAAATAAAAATAAATAAATAAAAGTTTAAACCAGAAAGTTTCCAAAATAAAACATTTTTTCACTATCTGTAGAGAAACATTTATTCCAAGAGAAACTGAGATAACAGGGACTGGAGACAGGAGAGCATGAGATAAATACATGAGTGGAGAAACGGGTGAGGGGGAGGGTGTGTGTGTGGGTACATTTAGGGTAAAAAAATAAGTACTTCTGCTCTTACGGGAAATGATTTTCTATTTTACTTGTATATCAAAGTCAACATAAATATACTAGCCAATGTTTAGAAGGATTCTATATCATCTTAAGGAATAAAGAGAAGCACAATAAAAATTAAAAAAAAAATCACGCTGGGGAAATTGACCCCGGTGGTCTTGACTGCTCTGGGGTTTGCAGGGAATAGACATTTAAGCATCTCTGCCCATCGCAGTGCCAGCGTGGTCTTCTACTTGAGGGTGGGGTATTTTCTACCCAAGTCAGCACTCTTCTCTGCTGGGATGCTGAACACATGTCCGAAGGACTCCAGGAAAACGGCACAGCTGGGTTCAGGTACTGTTTCAAGATGTGCTTTTTTCTTCAGCTTTGATAGTCATGAATGCGTTAAATGTCTTGATAGAGAAGGTCATATTTGGGAATATTCTTGGGATCAATAGGACTTTGGACAATAAGCTTTCCCCTCATTGCTCCTCGATAAATTACTTCAACCAAATCTATGAAGTCTTGCTTGGTTTTGAAACTTCCCACAAACTTAGTGTGATCGGGAGACCTAGAGAGCACGGGAGAAAAACAACCACGCTCAGAACTTTTAGCGATTTCTCGCTGCAGACCTTCAGGATAAACAAAATGAAGCACAGTTCTGATACTTTCTGTTCCTGAGGGAGACTTCAGACATAAAGCCCAACAATGATTTCTCCGGTCCTGAGTACAGGGCCCATTTGATACAGGATTAAACGCAGAGCCGTGGGCCACTGGGAGGGCACGTGAGCCCTACCAGGTGAAGAGCCTTCCCTTCAAAATCTACCTCAATTTCTTCTCAGTTCCTTATCAAGTAGAATTCCCTGGGCGTTGGGATGGGCATAGTTGGTTGCCGCTGCTGTTGGCCTTGCCGTGAAGAACCCGTTAACTGGTCACCGTCTCTGAGTTCCCCTCACTTATACTTTTGAGTGGGGGGGTACAAAATCGTTTTTTTTTCCCTATTTCAAACATCGGTTATGTTTATTACAGAAATTTTTTAGAAAAAAACATTACCAGTGAGGTCAAAGGCTGCATTTGGTACATATTCTTCCAAAGTGTGTGTGCGTGTGTGTACACACGTGTGTTTCTTTTTTCAAAATCATGGTAATTATATCATGCAAACTATTTTGTAATGTTCCAACTTACATAAACCTATTTCTTTCAAAGTCATTAAACTTGTATTTACAACATCATATGAAACTGACATCTAGTGTCCTTCTGTGAACATCTAGTTTCTTTCCAAGTATTTTGCTCTTTAAATAATGGTGGGATGAATATTTAGGCAGCCAATTTTGCCCACTTTCATGATTATTTCCCTTTAGATAAATTCTTGCAAATGCAATTGCTAGGCTGAAATTTTTACATATTTAAGTTGGCACATAGTGTCATAAATCACATTTTAAAAAGACTGCACCAGGGGGGTGCCTGGGTGGCTCAGTCGGTTAAAAGTCCTAGGTCATGATCTCATGGTTGTGAGCCCTGTGAGGGGCTCCACATTGGGCATGGAGCCTGCTTAAGATTCTCTCTCTCCCCCTCCCTCTGCCCCTCCCTACCTTGAGCATGCTCTCAAAAAAAAAAAAAAAAAAAAAAAAAAAAAAGATTGCATCACATTAACTTCTGTCACCTGTATCCTAGGAGAATAAACAGCTTTAAAATAAAACAGGTAATGGTTAATGCACTTTCAAGTAGATAATGACAAAACAGATACACAGATCTAAACAAGCAGACACCTGAACCACAGTGAGAAGTGTTAAGAATTATGGACACACTGAAAATACATGTTGAGTGCTAGGATGCTGACTGGATACAACGGAAGGTGTTAAAGATTTCATGGTGCTTATTCTTTTTTTTTTTTTTTTTTAAATTTTTTTTTTTTTTCAACGTTTATTTATTTTTGGGACAGAGAGAGACAGAGCATGAATGGGGGAGGGGCAGAGAGAGAGGGAGACACAGAATCGGAAACAGGCTCCAGGCTCTGAGCCGTCAGCCCAGAGCCTGACGCGGGGCTCGAACTCACGGACCGCGAGATCGTGACCTGGCTGAAGTCGGACGCTTAACTGACTGCGCCACCCAGGCGCCCCTCATGGTGCTTATTCTTGACAGAATTGAAGAATGACATCAGAATTCTCTGAATGGCAGAAGATAGGACACTTGGCCAGAGAGAAACATATCTCAGTTTGCCGGAAGGAACACTTCTTTCATAAATGCAGCCTACCAGTCCCAAAAGTTTAAGAACAATGACACATTATGTATTAAATGAAATTCCTAAGAAACTTTTAAAAAAGCTGTTCTATATTTTCTACACCAAAGGGTAGATAGTGCTGCACAAACTGTTCAATTGTTTCCTACTTACGTAGGAGGTTAACATTTGCCAATCATACTGGATACGCTGTCATTTTTGTGCCAAAGTTTCACATGACCAAGGAGTGGGTCACCTGAGGACACAGCACCAACACAGGGCTCACAGAGCCACCCTCATAGGCAGGTGAGTTACTGGAACTGCTTGGTTGAAAGAACCCCTCACAGCTGCAATGACTTCAGGTCAATCTAACTTACCCATAATCCACTTTCATGTGCTGCCCATTGAAGAAGAACACAGTAGATGGAATATAACTGATGTCAAAATAGTGCGTGTAAACGGGAGTTTGGTCCACATCTACCAGATATATAGCAGCCATTTTACTCAGGTCAGAAGATGTCTTAGAAAGCTGCAAATAGAGACATGTAGGTTACAATGAGAGAGGCAGCTAAATCTCCCCTGAGTTCCACATTAGACACAATGTAACCTTATCATTCAGACAGGGCCCTGGGTAAACTGTGTAAACTGTGTGAATACATTTCTCTCTCTTTTTTTTTAAATTGATTTTTGGTTGTAAAAAGCTTTTATAAACTTCTTATAGATTTATGAAATCCATGTTCGCTTAAACAAAAACAACTCAGAAATATACATGGCAGACACTGAAATTCCCCCCAATCTCCTGCCTTCCAATCCCCCCTTAAATGATAATCATAATAAAAACAGTGAAGGCTTGTCTGGCGGGTTATTACACGTTAAGTGTCCAAAGTGCTTTATGCTTATTAACTCATTTGATCCTTACAACATTCATATGAGGTTACTATAGTCCCCACTTCTTAGATGAGGAAACTGGGTAATCTGCCCCTGGTCACACAACTTAAGCAGTACAGCTGGGATTTGAACTTGGGCAGCTTGGCTTCAGTCTATACTCTTGGCCTCTGATATTCCCTTCCCTCTGTGGCTGAGGGTATAATCCTCTGGCCCATTCCTCCCTCAGATTAACACATCAGCATTCATTTTTAATCACAGAAATAAAGATTCTTATACTGGATCCACACTGTGTGTGGCAGCAATAGAAATGGTGTGAAGAGGTGTTAGTTCTGGGATCAGTCTCTCTCTATAACAGAGACAAGAATAACCACATTTTGTCCCATACTCCCCTCCCTACTCATCAGAGTATGAAGACGTGTTATGAAATCAGATTACCATCAGGCACACACTGGAGGCACCACACTGGAAAAGCTTATTTGCAGGCAGAGAAAAAGAAGTTTGAACCCCAGCTCTGCAAGTTACTGGTCTGTCCTGTGGGAAGTCACCTGACGTCCCTGGCATTCATCTCCCTGTGTGGGAGTAGTAACAGTGATGGTAATTATTCCACTGTTGTGAGCACAGAGTAAATAAGTGCTTCCGGTCCTCTACTGCTCTGTTGGTGAAACTGAACTTGGATGGCTACTGGTGGGGAGGGACGTCTAGGTCAGATTCAGCAGGATCACGGGTCTGGGGGCTTAGCTCAGGGCAGGCACATGACCAGCTCCTAGTGAAAGAGTGCCAGCAAATGAAAAGCAGTATCTCCAGGCCCGGCCACTGCCTTTCATGCACTTTGTAGATGTTGAAGTGAGAACGTATAGATTTTTAATAAAAACCATTTATTTAAAGAATTCACTTACAATATCATCTAGCTGCAGACAGACTGGATCCTCATCTCTCCCAAATCGGAGAACCAATACCTTCTCTGCAGTACTTTTTATTGCTTGGTCTACTTCTTTTTTGCTAGTTAGCTTGGGCAACAGGAAGCTCATCTTGCCATAATCCAAATATTTATCCTTACTGTCAGTCCTGAAATACAGTTGCAATATTTAAAGACAGATTAAGTGCATGAGTCCTAATTAAAAAAAAAAAAAAAATTAATTTTGTAGTAGTTAATACACATATATTTTATTCTCAGAGGAAAGAAATCGTTTCATACAACATAGTATCACAACAGTAAAAAAAAAAACAACACACTAAATGCACAAACTTCTGGCAAGTCCACCAGCTTGAAAAGAAACATAAATACAAAAAGGCGTACTGTGGGGGCGCCTGGGTAGCTCAGTCGGTTGAGCGTCCGACTTCAGCTCGGGTCATGATCTCACAGTCTGTGAGTTCGAGCCCCGTGTTGGGCTCTGTGCTGACAGCTCAGAGCCCGGGGCCTGTTTCAGATTCTGTGCCTCCCTCTCTCTCTGACCCTCCCCCATTCATGCTCTGTCTCTCTCTGTCTCAAAAATAAATAAACATTAAAAAAAAAAATTTCAAAAAGGCGTACTGTGAAAAACCTCCCTCCCTCTCTCCGGCCTCAACTGGCCCTGTTAGTACTGGCCTGTTTCTCCCCACACAGCAGGTAGCTACTTTCATTAGTTTCTCATGTATCTTCCAGTTTTGTTATGCATTTACAAAAACATACCAATGTGCATTCCTATGTTTTTTCCCTCTTTTACCCCAAAGACAGGCTATTCTATCTGCCAGGGTTCTAGCAGGAGAAAGATAACATTCTCAAATTTGGTAATTTCGAAAGATTTTCATTAAGGCAGGGTACAGGCACACACCAGGTACAGTGCTGTACTCGGGCTAGTAAGAGCAGGGCGCCGTTCCCACCCTGAGGCCTGAAGGAGCTACAGCAGGGAGTAGTTAGCACAAGTGTGTGGTGGGGAACGCCGGGTGGAGAAGGCTGTCATTTGGAGGTCAGCCTGCAGTTAAGGGATGCAGCCACTCTTCTCTGTCTGTCTGATCTCCTCCTAATGTGCCAACTGGGTGACTCACACTGGAACCAGAGGGCAGGGGAGATGCAGAGGGCATCCAAGTCTCGTGGTCCTGGAGCAGTCTAGAGAAGGAAAGAGTGCATCTGGAGAGGCAAATGACAGATGTCCGGCACACATACTTTACCCACTCTTCTTCACTTTGCGCTTTTTTACTTAGCATGCATAGACCTTCCCATATCTAAACACACGTTGTCACAGAGACATACTATTTCACACACGCACCACACTTTTAAAACCGTCTTTTACTGATGAAGTATTATCATGAGCCCCCACCCCCATGTGACAAACAGATAGATTAAGAGTGTGTGTGAAAACCACCAAATAAACAAATCATAGGGGCGCCTGGGTGGCTCAGTCGGTTAAGCGGCCGACTTCGGCTCAGGTCATGATCACGCGGTCCGTGGGTTCAAGCCCTGCGTGCTCTGTGCTGACAGCTCAGAGCCTGGAGCCTGTTTTGGATTCTGTGTCTCCCTCTCTCTGACCCTCCCCCGTTCATGCTCTGTCTCTCTCTGTCTCAAAAATAAATAAACGTTTAAAAAAAAATTAAAAAAAATAAATCATAAAATACTCAGATAAAAGGGAACTAATCCAATTCCCTCATTTTATAGACTTGTTTGCTTATAGTTTTGGTTCTAGCTACAGCACGGACTAGAATCAAAGCCACCAAATTTCTTTCCTTCTAAAGTTTTTTATTTTATTTTAGAGGGAGAGAGAGAGCGCGCAAGCGGGGGAGAGAGAATCTTAAGCAAGCTCCACACTCAGCACGGAGCCCATCATGGGGCTCGATCCCACGACTCTGGGATCATGACCTGAGCCGAAATCAAGAGATGGATGCTTAACTGCCTGAGCCATGCAGGTGCCCCCAAGCCACCAAATTTCTAGTGCAGTGTTCCTCCTGCTACAATAAGCTCCTGTTCTTATGGTTGAGAAACTCTATTTTTGAGTCCATCCAGAACTCCACCGGGGTACTTGACATTTTATATTTGGCCCCCAAGTTGGCTAATGCTATGAAAAGGGAGGATTTCTTTATGTGTGTGTGTGTGTGACAAGTCACATTTTAAGACAAGAGTTAATAAAAATGTATATAGGAAATGAAATTGTTCCTGTAATAAGTCATACTTTAGACAGGCAAGCTGATTGCTAGGAAGGACTTCATCAAATGTCAGTAGCAGAAAAAATTACTGATAAAAGGGAAAGTCAAAGTGAGGATGGATCTATCCCACCCTAGAATTCAAACAGCAACTCCAGTTCTGATAAAGAGGAGGAAAACTAAAGCCACACCTAAGAAAATGTTCATAGCAAGGGATACCAACAGAGACTTCACAAAAGAAGAGGTACAAATAGGCAAAAATATTCGGAAAGTTAAGCTTTACTAGTAAACAAAGAAAAGCAAATGGAAGATTATTTAACAAAGCCATTAAGTTGGTAAAGACAAAACAATATTGCAAGAGTGTGAATAAAGGGCCACACATTCTTACTTGCTGCTGGAATGCAGAGAAGCAAAAACTTTTCCAGAAAGAAAACAATTTGAGCAACAACTCCATTTCTGAGAATTAACTTGACACGTCCACAATGATTTATCACATTCTTAAGGTGAAAAACTGCAAACAACTTAAATAGCCCAAAATAGGAGATTGGAAAAAAAATTACAGTACAGTCCTGGAACATACTATTACACAGCTGCTAAATACTGTTACAGATGAACATTTCACATATTGAAAAGTTCTCATGATAAATCAGTTACAAAAGAGTATATAAAGTGTGATCCCACTGCTGTACAAAACCTAATACAAATGTATACATTTACATAGAAATAACTAGAAATAAATATCCCCAAACACATAGTGGTTATCTCTGTCAGTGAACAGACAGGTGACTTTTATTTACGTCGGAGTGAGAGTCTTCTTCCAAACTATTCGCTATACATACATACTTAATATATATATGCTTAATGATGCTTGTGGTTGGGCTGCTCCTGGCCCACAAGTGCTAGGGAAAACGACACCTACTTTCTTTGTACAAGTCACCTCCTTCTCTTCCACTTGACTGTTCGCAACCCCGACCACTTCTCCGAAATGTCGGCACACAGGCGGTTCCCGTCTTCTACACCAAAAGCAGCGACCCTAACTCAAAGTAACCCAGGGGCTGCTGCCCGCCAACTCTGGCGGACCACTTATAAAACCGGAAACGGAAAAAGAATACTCACTGGCAAGTAGATAAACTTGCGGTCTTTCCCCTCAATAGTCCCACAAGCCGACGAGATTATTCGTTACTCTAGTCACCGCCCACTTTGCCCGCCTTTGACAGGAAGCCTAGCGTCACTTCCGCCCTTATTAAACATGACCGACCTCCTTCCCTTTCTTCTTAGAGCCGAGGCGGGGCCTCGCCTTTCAGGCTAACTATGATTGGTCGCGATGAGACTCGGAAATGTCTCTGACCAGGGTTCCAGAGGAGGATACTCTAGCGTTGAGTGCTTGGTTGCTTTCTATACCACACTTGGCGCCAGGAACCGGCGGTTTCCGGGCTGCTCTCGATGGTTATCTCTGGACGGATAGAGGGGATCGCGCAGGGTATTATGGGACAATAATGGCTGCGCTCAAGGTTTGGGATTGGCTTTCTGAGGCGATCTGAGTGAGAGGTGGCGGTGCCGGCGCCCCGAAATCTGGGACAGGAGGTCCCAAGAGTCGGATTTGGTGACGTGAGTGTCCTTTCTTTCTTCTTGACCTGCCCTTCGCCAATTACGGCAGCTCCAAGCGGCGGATATGGGTCCTTCGCTCAGGTTCCGGTCCGTGTTTGCGGTCTCGTCCCTGTCACCCAATTTGCCTTTCTTACCCTTGGGATGCTGCACCGGTCCGGGCTTTCCTGTCCTTTCTCCTTGATCTGGTCAGTACTGCTGCCTGGCTGCCCAGGGGTCATCCTGCACCCTTCTTTAGGCCTCTGCATTGGCCCCCTCCCAAGCAGAGGCCGAGCCTAAGTAGGGCTCCTTGTGTCTTTCTTCTCTGTCATAGTGGTATCTTTACTATGTGATCTCCTCTACTAGAATGTCAACTCCAAGAGGGCGGGATTTTTGCCTGTTTTGTTCTTTGTTCTTTTCCTATTGCCCAGAACAGTGATTGGGTCACATAAGGTATTCGATGAAAAATTGTTGAATGAGTAAATCTAGTTTTTCGAAATTTTCTATTCTTAATTGGCTTCTTTGTCACTAATCATTCTCCAGAATCCAGTCCTTTTAATTCCTTATTTGTTCTCAGCAGCTAGTTAAATCCTATCAGACTCCTTGTCTTGTGCTATTGGGATCTTCCTTTGCTGTCTCTAGATATGTTTGTTTTCCTGTTCTCCATTAATCAGTTTAAATTCATTCATTCATTTATTCACCAAACTTTATTTCACTAAGTGCTGGCTGTAGTAATAGCAAGATAGACAAGGTTCTCTTTGGCAATCTAGGAGTATATTTTTTAGTTTATGCTACTGTTGAGCATAGCATATATATGTTTACCTTCCTGTTTAGATTTCCTCACATGCACAGAAGTCACCAATATGCAGCTCTGTCTTTTCTCTTCTGCCTGATGGCATTTTTCAAAATGCAACTCTTGTGTCTGTGTTGATATTATGTTTGGCAATATTTCTCTGTAGAGCTGTGCATGTTAATTAGAACTGAGCAAAACATCCTGGATTCTGGTGGTACCCTACACCTTGACAGTTCCTTTGCTTCACTGACTTGTTGAAAGAGGAGAATTATCCAAGCACCTAGAATCGGTGTATAAGTGGATGGTGTGTAATGGGATGTAAAGAGGAATGAATTTGATACACGTTGAGTGTCAGAAAGTCTTATAATCACCTTAATACTTTTCAGGAAACCATTTCATAACTTAGTGTTTCTCGTTAATATTTTTGGTGAACATGGATTGTTATTAAACAAGATCCCAACTGCCGGGAGATAATTCTTTTCTACAAAACACAACTGGTCCACAAAAATCCACTAGTATATGGATCACATAGTATATGGTAGCTTTATACCCCAGCATGTCTACTCTGCTGTATCTGTAGTTTAAAGGGAGGGAGAGGTAGAAGGGCTCATGTAGAAAATGTTGAGCCCCGATTAGTACAGAGAAGCATGGCAAATAAAATAACGTGACAGTTACTTTTATGTATGGCTTTATGGTTACAGAGAGCTTTCGCATACACTTTCTTGTGGGATTCTTATAATAATTCCGTGGACTAAATAAAGCAAAAAATATTTCTGTTTCACAGATACAGAAATTATGCCTAACCAAATATTAAGTTATCTGCTTACAATCATACAAGTAGAAAATATCAAAAGCTTGCATTCTAATTGAGGATTCTGACTTCAAATCTAGTGGTATTCCCCTACAGTCCCTTTCTAGATGCCATCATGTTCTAGTAAGTGTCCTTCGTGAGGACTGTGCTTGCCTGGTATCCTCTTGGATCCCGGTGTTTGGTGGGTGTGTGAATGTGTGTCTCTGTTTCTTTTTTTTTTTTTTTTATTTAAAAAAAATTTTTTTTTCAACGTTTTTATTTATTTGTGGGACAGAGAGAGACAGAGCATGAACGGGGGAGGGGCAGAGAGAGAGGGAGACACAGAATCGGAAACAGGCTCCAGGCTCTGAGCCATCAGCCCAGAGCCCGACGCGGGGCTCGAACTCACGGACCGCGAGATCGTGACCTGGCTGAAGTCGGACGCCTAACCGACTGCGCCACCCAGGCGCCTCAAGTGTGTCTCTGTTTCTGATGTGTATCAGAGTGGGAGTAGGAGGATCTTTTGAGATTGTCAGTGACATAATGGAAAGATTTTGGCAAGAGGTAGCTAAGCAAATCCTGGTCTTGATGGGGAGGTTAACTCCCTGAATATCCCTGTAACTTCAGTTATCCTGGGATATAGCAGAGCTATACCTTTTCTCCTTTTATATCCAATACAAAATGGGTTGTCTTCCTTCCACAGAAATCCCAGAGCCTGTCATGGAGGACACCAGCGAGGATGCCTCGATCCATCGATTGGAAGGCACTGATCTGGACTCTCAGGTTGGTGGTCTTATTTGTAAGACTAAAAGTGCAGCCAGTGAACAGCATGTCTTCAAGGCCCCTGCCCCCCGCCCTTCCTTGCTGGGACTGGACTTGTTGGCTTCCCTGAAACGAAGGGAGCGAGAGGAGAAGGACGATGGAGAGGACAAGAAGAAGTCCAGAATCTCTTCCTACAAGGACTGGGAAGAGAGCAAAGATGACCAGAGAGATGCTGAGGAGGAAGATAGTGACCAAGCTGGCCGACATAGCCGAAAAGACAGGTAAAGGCTTTTGGATGGGTTGACCAAAAGGGAATGAGAATGGAGGCCAGGGAATAACATCCCATGTTGATTTCTGTTTTCTTGTTGGACATATAGATCTTTATGGTTTTATTATGATTCTGTAGTATTGAAGTAGATAGGAAGTGATATTTTCTTCAGATGTGTGGGGAACATTTAAAGGTGACTAAAGAGAGCACAAAGATTAGAAATGATTTGGGTTGTTGCCATCAGTAAGCCTGTAGGGAGATTAAGTGGAAAAGGTCAGGTCACCCAGCCAGCCCCCCTTTGGGGGCAAGGTTTTTCTCCTAAGGAGGGGCATTTTACCACTTGCCCTCTCTGTTTCAGGCATTATCGATCTGCTCGGGTAGAGACTCCATCCCATCCTGGTGGTGTGAGTGAAGAGTTTTGGGAACGCAGTCGGCAGAGAGAGCGGGAGCGGCGGGAACATGGCGTCTATGCCTCGTCCAAAGAAGAAAAGGATCGGAAGAAAGAGAGATCACGGGATCGAGACTCTGACCGCAAGAGAGACAGAGGTAACCAGCCCAGCCTAGTTCCCATAGCCCAGTAAGCATTTGAGTGGACATATCAGCTTCTTTCCTGTTGCAGGAATTTTTCTAATGCCTGATAATTAGGGAGCCCTGTTGGTGTTGATAGTGTTGGGGTTGGGAATAGCAGGCTGTTTAAGAACTGTCACTTGCAGCATAGCTGCTTTGCTTGAGTGTGTAGTTCTCGTTTAATTATGAAAATTGGTGATAAAGGCAATACCAGGCAGTGTGTATAAGAAACCAGAATTTACACTGGTGTTGCTGACAGAGAAAGGACAGTGCTGTGAAGCAAAGCTGGACATATAATCCAACGCTGGCTTTGCTCAGTATTATTTAAATTTTATAGCTTATAGACTGGTAACCATTAACAGCTATTCATTGTAGACTTATAACTATTGTTTTTTGAATTCTTGCAGGAAAATAACTGTTACTGTGAGTTTGAAACTTTGTAGCCAGTAACTATTTTTTCCCCCTGAAAGAATGGGGATATGTGAGTTTCAGGAGCCCATGGATCGCATTAGAGCAGTGCAGGTTGCACCTGTGAGTGAGTGGGAAGGCCTGTCCTTTCTCTAGGGTGAAGATGGGTGGAAGTTAGGATGGGACACACATTTTCTAAGCTCTGCACATGGCTCTTGACAGATGAGAGGGATAGAAGCAGACACAGCAGCAGATCTGAGCGGGATGGAGGGTCAGAGCGCAGCAGAAGAAATGAACCAGAGAGCCCGAGACACCGACCTAAAGGTAGACCGAGCCGTTGCTTGTGGTGATTTGTCAGGGGTCAGTGTATACAAGGCAGCGTCCTCAGTTGATATGCCATGGGCAGAGTCAACTGCTGGTTCCACTATGAACTTCTTGGAATACTTGGTTCTGAGTCAGGTTGGAAGGCCCTGGACCTCCCTGTTGAGACGGATATGCTCCTCTAAGTTGGTAGGCCAGTGGACTGAATGGCCAGTTTTCCAAATGGCAGGAAAGAATAGGGAGCTGGGGAACAGAAGAATTGATTAAAAATAATTATTTAGGGGTACCTGGGTGGCTCAGTCGGCTAAGCATCCAACTTTGGCTCAAGTCATGATCTCACGGTTCATGGGTTCGAGCCCCGCGTCAGACTCTGTGCCGGCAGTGTGGAGCCTGCTTGAGATTCATCCTCTCTCTCTCTCTCTCTCTCTCACTCTCACTCTCACTCTCACTCTCACTCTCACTCTCTCTGCTCCTCCCCCACTTGTGCACACACAACACACACTCAAAATAAATAAATAAACTTAAAAAAGTTGTTTATATTCAAGAGGAGTATGTTTGCTGAGAGAAATTGGATAT